CGCATCACTTCGCATTGAATTACGAATTCGCAAAACAATGGTAAAATGCGAATTGTTGCATCATTTTTACGCCCAAAAATTGCGATTCGTCAATTCGTCTTTAGACACTTTGTCCACACTAATGCTAGAGGTCGCTTATAGCCATTTTCTGTATGCACACGAAACAGCAAAAAAGTAAATTTTGGGGAATATGTTGTTAATATTGGCATAGAATCCTATAAGCATTGCTCGATACTAGGCTTAGTGAGAAACTTAGTAAAATCTTGGCAAGATCTTCTTGAAACCTGATAAGATTACCTTCACTTTTTTGTACGATATTACGGAAATCTCAACAAGATTGTACGAAAAGCCTAAGATTTTGGCAAGAACTTGATACGATCTAACCATGAGTGTTCCTTTATTTAGATCACTAGCGTTGCCAAAAAGCGATGCACTCGACTGTTAAATAACTTTCGAACAAACGTGGCAGAGAACTCGGACTTTCAACGCTTTGTACTAAAAACTTAGGGCAATCTACCTCTGAGAAAACTAAAACCTGGCATTATTTGCAAGTGGTGTATCTTATCGAACAATATCTGAGGAACTGCGGTAAACACATTTCCATTACGGTTTTCATTATAATACATATCTCGATAGAGCAATATTTATCTACTCTGCAAAATTTCCAGTCCTCTGCATTTTTCTGTTCAGACGTTGGAAAGTTTTAATCAGGACAACCTGCGCCTATATAACCATGCGATTTTTAGGAACAAAATTTATTCCTTTTCGATGTTTTAAGGTTCCAGTCAAGCTTAAAAGCCTGAAAAACATTTTTCAACTTTATTTTTCGCATAAATTGATAGAATATCACGAAATTTATGACAAATATAAAAGTCAAGTTTTATGGAGCAGATTAAGTGCCTGAAAATTCACTGACAGAAAAGTGTGTCACGCCGTCACGTTTATTTATTGTCATTTATAAGCGAGGGAAAGGTTCTGGAAGAAAAGTTTTTTTAATATTGATAGCTCCTAAGTTTCCCTAGACAGTTTCCATTTGCTCAAGTAGTTTAGCAGGAAATTAGCGTTTAATTGGATGTACTCGCAATTTAGAGTCTTTTTCGGTCATGTCCGTCACACACCGAATATTCCTTTCCAAAGCAGTAAATAGTATCCAAATTGTCTCATTTTTTTACCAGAGACAGAGGATAGTAAACTGCACAAAATGACAGTAGAATTACCCTTCTACGTCTTACAGTTTCTATAAAAATTGAGCATTACTATGTCAAAAATGTCACGCCGTTATGTTTGGAGAAGCCGTAAGTTATGTATAGAAACTTAGAACAACATAACGAAAGAGACGTTAAACGAGTTGTTCGGAAACTATACAAGGTTATTGAGAGCTAGTATTTATCTCTGCACTTCGAAAACTCCTTCGGAAAATTATAAAAGCTAAAAACTTCTGTAAAAGTCATTATATGGATCAATTCTAAGTCATTGGTCTTATACCAAAACTTCAAAAATCTATTTAAAATTACGGTATAGTTTGAAGCTCTCAGAAATATTAGGGATATAGCAACCCCCCTCCCAATAATCGGAAATCATTTTTTTTCACCAGCCAAATGAAAAAAAACATTTGCAAAAAATGCTCACGCAGCGAAAAGTTTTGAATCAATCCTCTCAATAAATTTTTTTGTGGAAATCAGTTTAATTTTTACAGAAAATCGTTAAAAATATTTTGACTCTTCCCCCAATTCTGAGTGCCTCTCGCCAGCCCTGTTCACATATGCCAGACACGTGGTCATATGAAAAACGCTTAAAATAGTCAAAGCTTATAAATAATATATCTTGAAACAAGACATTAAAAATATGTCTTATTTAAGACGCTTAGTTTATCGTACATTTGTGTCCTTCCAGTAGTAAAAATTTTGGATGTAAGATATTCACATTAATCAAGCATGTCTAATTCATCGTTGATAGTTTGTACACGGTGATCTCTATCCGATAGTTTAAGAATGTTCATTAATATACGTTTAGCTTCTTTATAGTTTAACCTTGCTAAACCGCGTTCACTCGATCGGCGATAAGCCTCACCCTCTTCGAAGAATAAAATTGCTAAATCATCCGCCATTCGTTCATATACTAGGTCTTCAATGTTGAATACACCACTGACTTTGTTATACTCGTTTGACCACTGTCGATTACTCTCAACATCGTGACAAAATATATAGATACGATAGATTTGGGGTAAATGATGTTTTGCTGGTACAACGTGTCGGCCCAAACCTCCAGACGTGATAAGAAGAACTTTTGTATTTATATTTTTATCCAAATCGTCATCGAATGCATCATATGTATCAAAAAATTTCCATTCTGTAATTAATCTTGACAACGTAGCAAATTTGTTTTTCGTTGCTTGATGGGTTTCTGATTTACCGATTTGATCATCAAACCAAGTAGCTATGATACGTGGACGACCGACATCTGACGTGTTTATGGCCATGAAACGATTTAGGGACGTGTATGAATTGTATTCTACGGGATAAACACAATTCTTACCTTTTTCACATTAATTAGTTTTTAAGATAAATTCTCTGAGAAACCTTTTTTAGTCTAACTTATTTCTTTAAGTGACAAAAAACGTGGCAAACTTGTTTTTGTTCTTTGATTTACACCCCAGGGGAAAACCAAGATATGTGAGCAAATGTATAATGTTATTACTAAGAAAAATGACAGAACAAAAGAATCGTTTTTATTTATACAGGTATTTTGTGTTTGAAAGGAGAAAGAACTTCATATTAACCTGTAGAAAGAAGAAGAAATATTGGAAAGGTACTCCATGCTTATCAGACCGTCGAAAACCCACCAATTAATCACGAACCGCCACAAAACTCTTGGTTAATTGCGGTTAATTGATCGATCTTTTGCTGAACAAGCGATCTAAGCAAAAATGCTCTACGGAGAAACTCTAGCTCCATCGACTACATAACAGGGCGGGTATTTACTTGAGACTATCTAGCTAAATGTACCTTTTTAGCTAGGTCCAACCTAGTAGTGAACCGAGCACTAGCTTATCGTAATCGAGTAGTAGCAAAAACTTGGAAGTACGCGTAGTTTTATCGCGTATATTACGCGTATATTTTCCTATTATAAAGGTTTCAGCTTGACAGAAGCTATGCGCTAATATGCGCGTTGACCTTCCTAAGATCATGTCTTGAAAAACTTCAAGTTTTTTTATCACGGTTTTGTCTAATGTTGACATTATTGGTATTTCTATATCCAATCTGTTTAGAACCGGTAACGGTAGATTTAACGGACCTCGAGCGGCCATTGTTTTCATCTCGATGAACTTCC